GAGTGGGGAGGTTGGGGGGGGGGGACCCGGAGTCTATGGTGGGTATGAACTATGTGAATAGGCGGGTTCGGAGAACCCTCGCCTAAATTCGCTACGTTCAATTACCCACCATAGACTCCGGTCAGTCAAAATGACTATTTTGAACTGTAGGCAGAGTCAGACGCCGAGAGGTGGCGGGTTTTTCCGAGAAAACAGAAAAAAAAATGATGAAAGTCTTTTCCCAGACTGGAATGAACACAAACTCAAAACCTTAGTTAAGACCCAAGAAGGGTCATGTCTTACCTTGCCTGTGCTGTCCCCGAAGCAAGAAGCCAATGCTGCTGTGGTGATAGGGTTCGGTGCGCCTGAGAAAGCTAGACCAAGCCGAATTCGGGGGTGATAAGCTTGAAGTGGGACCGAAACAGTTTGCACGAGGGCGTAGGTCGAAAAAAGAAGCAAAACCTGGGAGCTTCCTGGAAGTGCTAGTGGTACAGACAATCTGCCCGCAAAAATGCAGAGACTGACTTATCGCCTATGTGCAGGGACCCCTGCTGTCGTTCAGGCTGGGTCAGTAATCAAAGCCTGACCCACTACAACAGGGCCTAACCTGAAGAGACCCTGCTCAATAGATTGGGTGTCTCTTAGGTAGTAGTTGATGAAGACGTTCTGCATTCTCCAGAAGCCTGCCCTCAGAATGTGTTCGAGGGGGGTGCCTGACGCTAGCGCTAGTGAGTTAGCAATCACACGGACCTCATGTGCTCGTACTTGGTGTCTCTGCAAGGTCTGTGAGGATAGTGTATTATAGACCTCCAGTACAGTCGCAGTAATCCACCTGCCGATGGAAGTTGGGGAAGCCGGCTTATCTTGTTTGCCAGGGCCATAACACAAAAACATGTGTTTGGTTCCCCGTCTGGAAAACCTGGTACGGTTCTCGTAGTAACTCAGCGCTCGGACCGGCAGAGAAGCAATTCCTCCTGATCCTCCGGATCGACAATATTTGACAGCCGGGGGATGACGATCGGTTGAGGATTGTGTCCTGGGATTTGGTTCTTGGCGAGAAATCCGATTTGTGTCTTTAGCAAAACTTGATCGTCCATAAAGACAGCACAACCGTCTGCGAAGGACAGTGCGCCTAGCTCTGACCGGTGCCTACCTGAGGCGAAGGCCAGTAGAAAGACTGTTTACCACGTCAAAAATTTGAGTGGTGCTGAAACGAGGGGCTCAAAGGGAGGTCTGCTTAGGGCTGATAAAACAACCGACAGGTTGCAATTGGGCGGTTCCCTTGAACGGGCCCTGGGCCTCTGATTATGGAAAGCAGTAAACAGTCTCCTAATAATGGGACAATCGGTTAGACTTGACCCCAAAGTGTTCTCTATGGCGGGGGAAAAGGCTGACCTGTAGCCAACGTCTGCTACCTGGCCATAGAGGGATGGCATGGATCAATCTCTCTTCCACTACACCAACTGGTTTATGCTCGCCATTTCGAGTCGTAGGCAGCATTGGTGGAATCCCTGTTCGCCATGGCCAGGACGTTGGCAGCCCGCTTACATAGACCTTTCATCTGCGTGAGTCTACTGAGAGCCTCCATGCGTGTTAGTGGTACACTGCTGGGCTTATTGGTAGTGTGCCGTCCGGTTGGGATAGCAAGTCCGGTATGTCCGGCAGCACTACCGGTGTTTCGACTATCATTTCCAGCATGAGCGTAAACCAGGCCTTGGTCGGCCAATTGGGTGCCACCAGAGTTAATATGGTGGGCTCTTGTCGAAGTTTCTCCAGTACCCGGTGAATTAGCGGGAAGGGAGGAAAGGTGTACGCATCCATGTGGGACCAGGGGATCGATAAGGCGTCCACGGCCCAGGCTCCTGGTGTCGGCAGGTGTGTTACCTACGTCAGGAACTTGGCGTTCTGGGGTGTGGCAAACAGGTCTATCTTTGGGCCGTCCCACATCTGAAACAGCCTGGAGGCTACCCACTGGGGGATCTGCCACTCAGTGTTCTGGAGACGGAAAGGGCGTCTACCAGACCGTTTCTCACCCCTGGAAGGTGGTGTGCGGTTAGCTCCACATTGTATTCAAGGCACCAAAGGAGAATTTGCTCTGCTAGGACCGACAACGATGGGAAACGCGTCCCCCCTCCTTGTTGATGTAGGAGACCAACGCTGTGTTGTCTGTGTGGAGAAGGACTCTGTGGTCTCGAACTTCGGGTCGAAAGCGTGAAAGTGCTAGGTGCACTGCTTTCAGCTTGAGCCAGTTGATATGGTGGTCCCGAACCCACTGCCGGGGCCATATTCCTTGGGCATGTTTGTCCAAAAAATGCGCTCCCCACCCTTGGAGGGAGGCGTCTGTTACCAGAGTCATAGCTGTGACGAGTGGGTCCAAGGGGAACCCCTGCCCGAGGTTGGTCAGTGAGGATACTCGCTGTTTAGTTCCCGTAGGTGAGCTCGGTGTTCCAATAACAAGTGTTGGACCGGGCGGCTGCGTAGTGCGGCCTGGGGAACTACCCTTCGAACGGAGGTCATCATTCCGATGAGCCGCATTAATTCTCGGAGGGACACTGAAGGAACGCTGACTAGGCGTTCTGCTAGGTTGCTTAACGCTAGGCAACGCGCTTGAGAAGGGCGAACCAGGCCTACTTCTGTGTCGAACTACATGCGCAGAAACACCAACTCTTGAGTCGGGTCGGGATGGGATTTTTGTGATTTACTAGAAAGCCCAACTGGTGAAGTAAATCCTGTGTAAGCCTTATATGTCTGGCTAATAACCCCTTGTCTGGGTTGTGTATCAACCAGTTGTCTAGGTACGGATTGATATGTACCGACATTTGGTGGAGCAGCAGTACTACCTGTTTCATCACTCTGGTGAACACGTAGATAACCCGAATACTTGGCCCAGATGGGCGAATCGAAGGAGAGGGCAACTCGCTGGGTTGGTATGTATAGGTAAGTGTCGCATAAGTCCAAAGAGGCTAGCCAGTAAAGCCGGTGGATGGAGAGTAGGACACTGGATGGTGTCTCCATGCGGAACCGATCAAGAAGTACATACTGGTTTAGTATGCTTAGGTCCAGAACCGGATGCCAGCCGCCTGTAGATTTTGATACTACGAATACATTTGAGTAGAAATAATTCTGTGTATGGCGTCCTTTCTTAGCAAACTGTCTACTTCCTGTCTGATTGCTTCCGCCTTGCGGGGATCCCCTGGCAGTGCCCCCAACGGGTCTTCTGATTTTGTCCCACGAATTGGGGTCCAAATCCGAGATTGCCCCGATGGGGTAGCGTTTAGTCCAGCAAAAGGGGTTATGCAAAAGATTACCCCAGCCTGGGGCTTTTGGAGTTACCTCCTCTGCAGCTAACCAACGACCGCCCCTCAACAACGTCTGCACGCCGTCCGCCACGCTCAACGCTCGGCTGGACCAGGGGAGACGTGCAGATGGGTCAATCTGGATCCTGGCGCCTGCGATCCCATCAGTGTAGAAGCGACCGTAAGCGGCTGCTTTAGGATCGAGGGTGGGGGAATATACACCGTGTCACCTGGACTGATAATATTCCGCATCACCCCAACAGAGTGGCTCACAGAGTCATTACGCATTGTGGACTCTGAGGGACCACCCGAGGTACCCACTGTATCCGACGCAAACAAACTGCCTCCTCTTAGCCTAAATATGTGAGCGAGAGTGTGTTCAAGAGTGCGTCATGACAGGGTCGGTTCCCTCTGGGAATGCCTGTGGGTCGGCGAGAAGGGAGTCGAAACCCACAGCGGAGATCAGACTTGAAGGTAAATTAATCAGTCCGGTACCGCGCGGTGAACCCAGGTTGATTGAAAGTGGGGGGTGTACAATGTACATGTACAATGACCCGAACGCCTTGCCCCAAAAACGGAGCCTTCCCCGGAAGAGACGTGTTTAGAATGCGAACGGTGCTTTCTGTGTACAATACCAGCGGCAAGCCTCTGGCGTTGCCAGTGCATCTATCCATTTCTAAACACATTATACATAAAAGACGACATGCATGAGGGAAACGAATTAAAGTTGTAAAAGGTGCCGCCATGAAACCAACATGTGGTTACGTAGTGGCGCCGGGTTTTAATTTCTTTGTTGTGGAAAAGCATAACACACAAAGAGGAAAACGACACAAGGGTAAAAAGAAAAGAAAAACTTATCCTACCAGCTAGAATGTCGGATGCCGCGGCAGCGGCGACGACCAATCGCTAGCAACCCGGACAGAAAAAAAGCAACAGAGCCAGGCAGAGCCACTCAGAATCATTCCCCGACGAGGCGGAGAAAAAATTAGAGTGATTGACGGCTGCCTATGGCGCTGCCATGTGGCCTCAGTCACGTGGGTTCGTGACGTAAGGGGTAAAAGAATCTTGGCGTCATGGGGCTTCCCCTGACCTAGATTCTATCTCTCCGTCACCGGCAGAATTGCTGATTAATGCCTACAGTTCAAAATAGTCATTTTGACTGACCAGAGTCTATGGTGGGTAATTGAACGTAGTGAATAGGATGTACATGTACAAAACAGCATTGGCAGGTTTAGTAAGAATTTCATGCACAGCAACAGTTTCATTCTAATGGAGTATTGTAGTAAAAATGTGACAGCTGAGTTACATGTATGCTCACAATGAATATTCAAAAAACTGGGTACCCGGTACTCTTGTTTTCTCTTTAAAAAATAATGCAAGTTAGAATAACTATCTTTCAGATGCATGTTGTGAAGATCACAGAAATGTAGGTTGATCACACATTCCTCTCAAAAAAAAAAGTTTTTTGATTCAAAAGTTCAATTAAAAATAAACTTTGCAAAGCTCTTGTGTAAATACAAAATGTATGCAATCATTGTTTTATAAAAAATCTAATTTCCAGTCAGTCAAATGGCATTAGAGATTAAGATTATCAGTCAGCAGATGTTCAGCACCAGTACTGCAAATTGTTGAGATTTTGCAAACACAAGCTGAAATGAGATAATTAACATGCAAATTAGCTACTTAATAAGCATGAAGATGACCTCAAACGTGAACGTGTCTCCGTATTATCCTTAGGTACTAAATTTGATCAAAATCGGATGAAATAATAATATGCAAATTAGTTACTTAATATGCTCGGATATGGCCCCAAAACTATTCATGTCTGCATATTACCCCAAGGTACACAGACAGACACACCAAACTCATATATATATATAACATAAAAAGTATCAATCGCTAAATTTATACAAATGTACTGCATGTTCATCATTTTGTCTGTGATGTGCTATTTCAGAAAAGCACTGCATTTGATATGACCACTGATTCCTGTTTTCAAGAACCATGCTTTTGTTTCTGTTAGGTCAGGTGATTAGTAAACTTACCGGTAAGGTAAATTTATGCATATATTATTTGCATATCACCTTATAATAATTGATGTCAGCTTTATCACTAGAACCAGAATATCATGCAATACTTACAATAACTCCACTGACATCATTATGTGTTACAAGACAATGTTGTAACCATTCAAAGTCTTCATATGCTCGTATCACGGTCACCTCCTTGTTGCTTTCATCAAGCTGGAAAGGTATGACGAAAAAAAAATTACAGTTATTGCAATGTCCGAGTCTTTTTCAGATGAGTTATCATTTATCTATCACTCACACAAATCACAAGCCAGATAGCCTCACAATCCATACCATGTGGAAATTTTGATAGCATAACTCCCATAATTACTCACTTTACTCTATTTAGAAGGGTAATACCCAGCTCCAAGGCCATTTTCAAAAAGCATGGCCTGAATGTCTTAATTATTATAGACAATAGGATTATTAACAATGTATACATGTATATGTCAATCTTATGGAAATAACACCATTTCAAATGACTGAAACTGTACGCTATATTTCTCTTTCAATGTCACAGTCAAGTTCACCTCATGGGTCAGTGAATGACAGTCATGTACTCTAGCCATACCTTTCTAGTTGTGACTTCGTATTTAACAACATCGCCATCTTTTTCAGCTCCTACCACTTGTACAGTGTACCATGGTTCAAACGGTTCAATGCATCCTACGTCTCCATTTACATCTTGAATGGCTTCCTAAAATAGAATAGAATAGAATAGAATAGAATAGAATAGAATAGAATAGCAAATAAACTTATACTACCAGTAGTACTTATTTACAATTATTACCATAGTTTCAATACATTTTTTGTACAGACTTCCTGTTTACATTCAGGCAGTAAAACTATTTGAATGGCATTCAAGACAGTATTAAAACATGCTTTAATATGAATATCTTACTGCGATAACAGGCATTAATAAATACTTTAGTGATATAAAAGCAAACTATTGTAACACTTATTTTGGTACCAGGTTATTAACAAGATATCTGGATCAGACATTTTTAGCAAACAACAGAACACTGCCAAACATTTATGCAAATTTCGCTGTGATCAAATTTCCAGCAGCTTGGCCATTAACAAAACCACACAAAACAGACGTTTCAGAATTTCAGAATTTAGAGGGCAGCCATTTTCAAGGCAATATTTAAATAAATTACTTTGAAGTACAGATAAATACTGGGCATTGGGGAAATTTCCTCTGATGCCTCTGTGAAATTCTAGCCCTATCTATGGTGGCTATTGTATAACTGATTCAGGGTTTGTTAAAATAAATCTGGACATGTGAAGACAGTAATCACTATACAATGTAACAACCAGCTCTACCTGGTACCATGGAGGTAGAAAGAGAGACAAAGCTTTTCGTTTCATGAAATATATTTGTATGAACAAAGCTATCTAATAAAAAGCTCTGAAAAAAGTTTCCCAGTTGTTTATATGAATGTAGTTTCATAACAGAAATAGTTATAATAATAGTGCATATACGTGTCCTTGGTATAACATAAACAGTCAAGTCATGTGACGTCCTAAGCGTTCATCTGGACCCGGTCTGGATATAACAACCTCGCCTCTTTGCTCTCAAACTGTGTTATTTTTACGGCAGCAATCGGCTATGTTTGTACAATGCCAGAAAATGCATGTGAAGGCAAACATTTGGCTTGATTAAAACGTTGATGATCACAGTCCTTCCATGGTTGTTGTCAACTAAACCTACGAGTTATGTTTAACGGAAATATGGAGAAACGAAACAGTGAACTGTCTCAGCAATAGTACCCAAATTGCTGAATGTGAAACAAGGTTAAATCAGCAATCTGTCAAGAAATTTAAGAACACAGACAGTGTATAAGGAATATATTGAATGAATTGTAATGTCAACACACATATACCCACCATCTCAGCTACCGCGGAACTGACAAACACACCTCTGCGCAAAGACAACTTCCGGTACAGATGTGCGCATGGTTGCGCCCTCAAGTGGCCAATAGAATCATGTTCGTAGACTATCATCATGATGTTCGTTCTACATTGTAGTAGAAGTTCTCAGAAGTAAAATACATATTAATCACATTTCTAGAAGAATCATTCTAAACTATTTCAAGCTGTATGTATTTTTATGGAAGCCCAGACTTTACCCAAAATAAAAATCAATGATATATCAAGCGCAACCATCAGTTGGTCATGTGATCGCTAAGTAAAGAAATCCATCATTCAGTATTGATACTTTTAATCAGTACTGTGAAGAAATTAAAAAGACTTATTAAAATTGTGTTCATGGAAAATTGTAAAATGAAACACTAGACAAAGAAAAATCATGGCGATTTTGTGTTTTTCTAACTGCGGTGTCCGTTTTGGCATACAGGCAGTAAAATCTCTAGAAAACAGATTTATAAAAGAATCCTGAAAACTGTTCATTTATATATCTACAATCACTGAAAAAAGTGAAGAAATCCGATGAGTACACAAAATACTTGCAAAAAATACTGACAAGGGTGTGTAGCTGGTTGTTTGAAACCCCTCCCCCTCATCAGACAGAAATATACTCAAATTGCCTCCCCTTTTCAGTTTCAGACAAACTGTGGATATTTGACAACCTTTTCCAGACAGTAAGCATAAATGGTACCAAGGGAAACGCAGGTGGAATCCCGGAGATGGACTTTGACGATCGAAATGAAGTTACAGAAAGAAAAAATCAGCTTCATTCTCCTGATTGTTGGATCACTCAAGCTCTAGAGACAGTTTTTGGAAAATACGGACCCCTTTTAAGACAGATATAATGAAAAAATGATACCCCTTTTCAGACAGACAGGGTAAAATAACATACCCCAGACAGACAGAAGTGGTGAATTTGGGACCCCCTTTGGCGCCACATACTATAGCACTTCAATGTGAGTAGCCCCCCCCCCCAGGGGTCTAATGGCAGCTTTAGACGCCACGGGACGTGGGGAATTCAACTCGCTCGGCAAGCTATATTTGCATGGTATAGATACTGGATAAATCGACTCAAAGTACTCACACCAGAGGTTCCTTACAGATAGCTCAACTTTATTGCATAACCGATCCTTCGCCTTTAACGCTGGGTCGCCAACTTCCATCATGATCACCAACCCTCCGTCTCTAGTCGGGTTGTAATCTTCCACACATTTCTATAAAGCATACAATTTACAGCGGCGAAGCAATACGTCGTCAGTCAATGATATAAGCAGATTTGGGGTGGCCGATGATGTCTATCTAGAATTGGGGCATTTGTATTCGCACGGCAGCGTATGCTTAAAATACATGTCAAGTTTCGCTATTGCAACATCGCCCTCATGTATCATTTACTAATTGAAGCAACGCATCATATAGGCTGTTAGCTATACAACGCGTGTCAAGTTTGAGAAAAGGCATTGGATTCACATAAAAAAATGTCTTTTAGTATTTTCTTTTCGCGAAATACAGAATGACTTTATTGTAAAATGTGATGGCATACATTGTATTGACATCACATTCCATTGGAACGAACTAATTTGCAGTTTGAAGGCATTGGGACAATAATTAACTGTTAAATGATAGATGCACCTAAATATCCCGAGTCACCCTTTCAGTTGTGAACCAACGTATCAGCCACACTCATTACGAGCGGCCATAAACCATGGGCCAATACTCGTGATTTCGTAAACGTCACGTTGTTGGATCATCATTCAATGTTACAAACCCTAGTACTTTTTTTCAAATTCTTTGATTATAACTTCAGTTAGAACAATAAATGTCCAGAAAATCTTAGCCTAGCTCTGAAATTGCATTGTTGCAACAATGATTGAACTGACTATGGACCATGACAATCTGACCTGACAACGCATTGTACAATTATCATAACTCCAAGTGAAATTCACATGGCTATTGATCAGCAAAACATTATTGTTACCGAAATACATTGTTGTTGTCCCAATAGTCATGGCCCTAAGCAAAGATCGAGCTCAAAGATTCTAAAACATTGCTCAGAATTACAATTGAAATAGCCAAAACCCCATTAAATAAATAAACAAATAAACAAACAAACAAATAAATAAATAAATAAATAAATAAATAAATAAATAAATAAATAAATAAATAAATAAATAAATAAATAAATAAATAAATAAATTGAAATAAAACTTATATAACAATAATATTTACTATAACATACTCAACAGATTGTGATTACCCATAATTTGATTCGAATCTGATGTAGGTATAGACTTCGAGCCCAATTTTTATTATATTTTTCAGTTTATTTTTATAGTTTTTCTTTTTTTATATTTTTCATTCAAGTTGTTATTTTTGTTTATTTATTAAGTTTGGAAGCCGTTATTAAGTTTATTAAAAATCGGAGCCTATACCTACAACGGATTTTAATTAGTTTAGTACTAATATACATCTTAGAAAATCTCCAACACCTGGTTTGTGTCTTTGGATGTATGAAACACAGAAACATGCAAATTAGCTGCCAGGTGATGAGAACGAGTTCTAGTATTTGGTGCAGCTCCTAATTTACATAGTGAGCCCCTGTTACAAAAGGAAAGCAATAAATAAATAAATAAATAAATAAATAAATAAATAAATAAATAAATAAATAAATAAATAAATATTCCCCAAAGATTTTATTTGTCAGACCATACGTTGCAAAACGTAAAAAACAAATACAACAAACTCCTTATGGTGTTCATGGGGTCCAAAATGGCAAGCCAGTAAAGTTTTAGAGAAAGCAATGCTCAATAGTACAAATCACAGAGAATCAGAATATAAAGTGTTATGTGAGGGAACATTTATGTTCATTATTTGCATTTGCATTAATTTATTAATATGAAAGGGAGATCAGAAAGTAAACATTCACGACTAGATGTTGCAATTGTTGATAACAGAACTTTCAATGATCATGGGGTCATGTGAGGTTTTTCACATACAATTATGTAAATGCCATGCATAACCCGGTCTGTTTACAAAGCGTCAACACGAACCGTCGAACATCGCTCCCATACGTATACATGTACTATGCAAGTTTCAGTGTAACATTTCAGTCGTGAACACAAAGCTTTTGGTCGCCGCGTTTCATTCCCCTTCACTGCGGTTTAGCCATCCGACTTTTGGATTGATCAAAACACACTAGGAGCCACGAGTGTGGAGATCGTCGCTTGCATATACACACAGAGCAGTACTTATCATTCTTTACTTTAGCTTGTTGTGGTGGTCTATTTCGAATCTAGGTCACATCAGCCGAGAAACCTTTTTCTGTGTACCGTGCGCTGGCAAGATGAAGCGGACCTTACAGATGCTGGTTATGTTGGTTTCGTTATGGGCATGTGCCGTGTGTGGAAGCGGAGTCCACATAGTAGCGCCAATCAATGAGCATGGACCACAATCGCACCTTCAGGTAAGCTACCATGAAGACATAAACCCAGATTTTAGTACTATTAAGAAATCTACTCGAACGACGAATTGTGCACGGCAACTGTGATTGGCAGACACTCGTTCGAGGCTGATAATCGAAAACGCTCCTGGTCATCGTGCGAACACGCCACGGTGCACATAACAAGGACTCGTAAGGCAGTAACAAAATTCCAACCTTGAGCATCTACAGAACTATTTTTTTAAGTGTGTTGTTATTAAGTTGAAAGGACAATGTTCACAAAACCTTGCATTGTTCCATGTCGTGTGATGCACCCTGGCTGTTTGAAACATACGAAGGCAATTTCAGAAACTTTATAAAAGTGAAAGGGAGTAAATGATCTCCAGTAACTTTCGCAATAGAACTTGTTTTATCGTATTTATATATTATACACATAAATTCAATCGCTCGAGTGCATTGTGTGTTTTGTTGATGCATTCAAAAAGGCTGCCCATCACAAATGCATAATAGCGTTCAGCAAATGACCGTGCATTGAAACAGCGCAGTATTTGAGGCGCCGATCTGACCGGGGTCACTGGAAGAGTGTGATCAATGCATTTTTTAGCGGTATCTTATCTGTACATTTTTTTACTACGCAATTTTATGAGTCCCCATATCGAAAAGACGCGGCGCGACGACCGCAAGGCTTTAACATGTACAACCAAACACTCAATGAAAGCAAGTCACCAATAACCTACATTGCATACGTTTACGCGAAGGAAACTCCCAGTGCACTACTCGCAACTCTCGAATACAAGAGCTTTAACTATTATTTTGTTATTTGTTGACCATATTCCATATCATAACACAATTAAATTACCAGCTGGTGATAAGTGTTTAACTGAATGAATAGTTGCAGTGGATTAAATGCAAGAGTTTGTTACTCGCAAACCTTGTTTGATTAAGAAGTTTACAATCTATTCACATCTGGTGTATAGACTGTTATGTTTTTGGTCATAATTTATGATGGGGGGTCGTAGAAAAGCTGCCCTGGTATTGGTGATGTTAAAATCTTTATTGTGGCTGAGGCAATAAAACGTCACACATCGTACACACTGACAGCAATAAATTTGGGTTTTAAAAAAGGATTTCTTTAAAAGAAATACGATGAGCCTTGTTCATTGGAAGTTTGCTTATTGTTGAGTATCGACCTGTAAGCTCCTATGATGTAATGGCAATGACGACATCAAGAAATAACGTAACGTAATTCGGAACCTGTTTTTTTCGAAAGACAACCAGGCATATGATTGTCAGGTTAAGCTACTGATTTGTAGATGGTAGCTAATTATTATTATTTATTATTATTATTTATTATTATTATTATTATTATTATTATTATTATTATTATTATTATTATTATTATTATTATTATTATTATTATTATTATTATTATTATTATTATTATTATTATTGTTATTATTTATTATTTATTATTATTATTACCATCACGCGCCATGTTGCTTATATGGAAATGCAAATGACTATAAGGCCATATATACACAACGGTAGCTTAACGATGTGAACTACTTATGCAAATACATAATTGCAAAAATACCTTTGTGGGTGCACATGTAATACGTTTCGGGTTTAGATACATAGAGGGCATTTTGTAGCAATCAACATAGTACTATACATTTCATTATTACAATTTGGTTATGGCCATGGGGTGCACGATGTTACGATTATGTTCGACCCAGTCGAAATGAAATACATCGGTATGATATGCATAGACGAACCTTGGCTTTCTCAGAATTATAGATCGGATGCAAGTAATCGTCTGTCACAGTTGTTGATTTTAACCATACATGAAATATACCCCGAAGCAGCAGTTCCACCCAGCGTGAGAACACCAGCATAATACTCATCGGCCAATTACATGAAGCGTACAAGAGTAACATTTTATTATTTTTATTCAAACCCAACTTTGTGTAACGTGTATACATATGTTCACTGACACTGGGCTGTTTTTTGTTTTCAGCTCCAGAAAAGGAAAGTTCGGGATACCGAGTCTATGGTGAGTACGTGACGTCATCGGGTGAACGTGACCGTGCAGGCATTACAGGCTGATGCCATATTTTACGCCCCCCTTTTTTTTACGATCGACATATTTTCTGAACCCGCAGCTGTTTTCGAAATAAGAGTCAAACAAGAAAAACGACGGTCACAAACGAGCACATCAAATACTATTTACATCGTCTATTGTATAGTAATGATGTTTTTGTATAATTGCCTTGTGCGCATAGAGCCATCATTCTATGTACCCTTCCAAATTTTATTCATTAAACATGTGATATAAATGTGTAGAAACAAGAAACAAGTCTGTATTTTCTATTCTAGGCAACAGAGATAACTAGTCTAAATGTAATGTCATACATTGCGTCGCGATTTGCAAACACCATGGTTAACAGTAAAATCGTCAACAAAGAAATGACAGCGAGGGAAATTGAGTTCAACGTTCAGTTGCCGGATTCCGCATTCATTGCTAACTTTTCAATGTAAGTGAAATACTAAATTCCATCGTATCTTACTACTAGAATACACTTTTCATTTATCATAATAGAAGAGTAAATTTTCATTCTCTCATACTGGTATTGTAAAATTCCGACTGTGTAGTACCAGTGGAATTCACTACAACAGTATCGTGCAAGTAGAGTACACCGTCCAGTGTATATACTAGTAAAGTACACTTTCCATGCAGATAAAGTACATTTTTCCGTGTCGTACTAGAAAAGTACTGTATCTACTGTATCGTACTAGTACAATACACGCCCCATTGTGTCTTACTAGTAAAGTATGCTTCCCACTGTGTCATACCAGTATAGTTTACTTTCCAAAGTATCGTAGTAGTAAAGTACACTTTATACTGTATCATACTATTTTAACACACTTGACACTGTATCGTACCAGTAAAGTACACATTTTACACTATATCATAATATTTTATTGTACTTTCCCCTGTATTGTACTAGTAAAGTACATTTTCAACTGTATCATATTATTTTATTGTACTTTCCCCTGTATTGTACTAGTAAAGTACATTTTCCACTATATCATACTAGTTTAATTCACTTGACACCGTATCATACTAGTTTAGTACACTTGACACCGTATCATACTTGTTTAGTACACTTGACA